AATCCACACGTACATCAATTGTGTAAAGCACACTTACACATTTGTTGCTCTCATCATTCTCAAAATTCGCTTTCTGCTTGGGTTCCTGGAATCAGCTCCTCATTTTCCTTTTTCCCTTCCCCCTCCCTCCCCGCTCCCCCCTCCCTCATGAACCCTTAATCATTTATAAATTATTATTTTATCTTATCTTACCCTGCCCCTGCCCGGCATCTCACTTCCCCTAACCATGCTCCATCTTCATTTTAGAGCGCGGGTTCTGTGTGTCGGAGTATTTTGTTTCGCCATGTTTCCTTTAGCAGATGCACTAAATGCTTTTCCTAAGCATGTACATAAATTCGAGGACATGTGTGATACCAAAATGTGCCTCCCAGAAGGGGAGAGAGAAGCTGAGCCAGACGCTTCTTTGTGTCTGGGTTTGGAGAACGAAAATGGAACTTGTAACGTGATTTCTATCAGCATCTAGCCCTTTAAGCTATACAAATGAGATGTCCAACTCCTGTAGCATTCTGAAATTCAAACAAACGCTTTGTTCTTAGTGGAGTCGCCATTCAGAACTGCTCTTGGCAGCACATCAACCGTACTTGAAATGTCTTTAAGTGGGTATTTTTTTTTATGGTCCTTTTCATCCTAACACATTGTTTGAGAGGCTGGAGGACCAAACTCCCTGCAGAGGGCGGTGCCCATGTTTCTCTTATGTCTCCGTTTGCTGACTTGGCGATATAGAACGTACCTTAATAACTCTTTGGCCATCTGCAACATGGCTTAGAGGCTGAAATGTAACACACAAATGAAAACGAGTTTGGGGCAGAAAGGACAGAAATACAGAGAAACAGCAGGAGGCAGTTAAAAGTAGGTGGATTACAAACCCTGACAAAGGGCAACTGTTGTTCTGGGGAAATCAGGTGCCAGAGAGCACCACAGGGTGTGGAAGCGAAGCACGGAGAGTGGCTGTTTATTGAGCATTTACTGTGTCGTGTACTACGCCATGAGCTTTCAGATGCTGTCTTACTGAAACCTCACAGCAACCCTACGGCTTGTCAAGCAGAGATTGAAGCTGAGGTGATTGTTGCATGGTTACAGGCAGCAGGTGGTGAAAACCGTGGATTACCCAGATTCCTGGTCTACCGCTACTTTCCAGTGGATTCTTTTTGTATGTTTTGACCTGCACTGGAACAGTGATTAAAAAAAAAATCATTCATGTATCTAGCGTTTTCCTATAACTTTTCATCTTTATTAGAGTTGTCATTTGAAGCATCATGTAGCAGAATAATAATGATCGCTCTGACCTGAGCGTAATAGAAGGTTAGAAAAGTAAATTAGCATAGTGTTTTAGCTGTGTAAATAAGTTGATAATGTAAGCTGAGGTTACACGAAGTGTTTATGTTGTTATAACTAAAAGAGAGATACTTTTATTAAAAAATAATAAATGTCTGCTGAAGGACCTCACACAAAACAAACACAACTCAGACTCCAACTCCCTGCTGTTGAGTCGATTCCAGCTCCCACAGCAACCGGGCAGCGAGGGAGGCAGAGCTGCCCCTGGGGCTTCTGAGACTGCCGCTCTGTAAGGGGTGCAATGCTTCATCTCTCTCCTTCGGAGTGGCTGGCAGTTTCAAACTGCCGAGCTCACCGTTCAGCAGCCCAACGTGTAACCACCATGATAGGAAAATTCTGTTTATGGTTACTTAATTTGGAAGATTTCTGTCATTGGAAGTTCAGCAAAAACCATGGCAGGTCTTTTTCACTTGTTGAGATGGATACCTTAGGGGCCTGAATGTGCTCAGGAAGAGTGAGTGTTTGTGGTCTCCCTGTAGAACGCTATGGAAGGAGCCCAGTGGTGCAGTGGGTTAAGCGTTGGGCTCCTAACCTAAAAGCCGGTCATCCAAACTCACCGGCCACTCCATGGGATAAAGACGAGGCTGCTGGTTCCCATGGATTCACCGTTTCAAACACCCAAGGGAACAGTTCTGCTCTATGGGGTCCTGCAGGGGCCCTGTGAGTCAGCACTGACTGGATGGCGGTGGGTTTGGTCTTGCGTTTTATAGCCCTGGACTCACGTTGCTGAGATCGCGCAATAGGGATGGTTTTGTAAAGTTACTTGTCCATATTCCCAGGCCTACATGATGTTCACTGCCACCCTAGGGCCTGCCTGGCAGAGACTAAATGATGCTCGAAGTCCACTTGACACAGGAGATGCCCAAGGCTGGCCATTCCACCTCCAGCCAGTCAGAGCATGTGATCTAAGAGCAGGCTGATCAGGGGTCCCATAGCCCTCCAGTGTGCTTTCCCTCCGAGATAGACCATTTGATTGCACGTAGAAGCAGTCATCAGCAATAACTACCCTCTTTTAGCTGAGCCCTTGCCATTTTCCTCCTCTACAGTGAATTTGCAGCACTGTGTACATGCCCCCTGGAATACAGGAAAAAATCACTTCACTTGTCCATTAGGAACTTAGAATTCACTTGGAAAGACAAGACAAAATGACTTGAACAATAAAGATTAAGGAAATCAAAAAAGAGTTCCTGGCCCTCCCATCCATCCCCTTACATTCCTGAAGAACTAGCTCTTCTTCATGAAGCCAGGGCTTGGGGCCTTCTGCCCGTTGATGGCTCCTCAGAAAGGATAGTCTGTAGATAGTTACTTACTGGATGAGTGACTGGTCTTGGCAGCCAGGAAGAGCTTCAGAGAGATGAGCGTGACTTCAGATGCTTCTTCATAAAAGGAGTTTCCTAGGTGTGTGGTGAAGGAGGGAGAGAGCCAGCCAAACACCAGGTCGATTTAGAGAGTGCTATTGTGGATGAAGTGAGGTGTTGAGAAGGAGAAGTTGGAGATCTTATCAGAAAAATGGGTGGGAGTCCCATTTGGGAGGCATTGGATTCTTGACTGAAGGGTGCCCCGAGACAGTGCTGGGGGTTGTTCTTACAGGGAGTTGATGAGGCAGAGAAGCAGATCAGTGATGTGACCACACTTTATAAGTTAGAAAAACAAATTGCAGGGCCACCTTCTGAACTTTTTTGGTGCTCACATAGGAAATCTTTAAAAAATTTTAAATACACGGAATGAGTGGGTATTTGGTATGAATTTGTTGACAGGTATCACTACCCTGGCAGCGTGTGGCAGCGAGATTGTTGGAGCTGTTTTGTATTCCCAATTCCTTGAGAGACCCCTTGTCTGCTTTATACTTTTCCTTCTGCCGGATCTCATTATAGAAGGACCAGTAGGGAAAAGAGGAAGGAAAAGTAGATAATTGAATGTTTGATGTTTTGTGGAAATATGTCCTTTTTTTACATATATGCATTTTATTAATTTATTCAAATGTATGTACCTACCTTAACCTAAAGAATAGTAAGATGCATGTAAACGTTTTTAAAACGTGAAATTAAGATGCATTTTTAAAAAAGATGACATTTTAAAAAAGATAAACTAAGAAGAAACAAAGGGCGTCAGTGGAGTGTGTTACAGATAGTGGCTGTCAAGAACTTTGTAGACTGGCTAGATGTGGTTAAACTTTGACTTGGAGTTCAGCGCCTTTGGCTTCCGGTGCAAAGCGGAAAGGAAACAGGGTGAGTTATAGGATTCTCGGTGTCCATGGTCTAAAATGGAAATCACTGACCCGGGAGCAGCCCAGGTACTTCCCGAACCTCCTCTCTTGGGTGCACATAAGGAAAATTCTATAAGACATTTTATTTTACCTACTTGTCAGTGGAAAGAGGTAATGTCCTCTAATGAAAACTGAGGAGTTAAACAGGAGCCAGTTACCTGGAAGCCGAGCAAAGGCTGTCACCCATCAATGTCTCAAGCAGCAATACCTTTGTATTGCACATTCTAAGATAAACTCCATGTTCCCTTAATATCACTCAAAACTCTCCAGACTCACTGTCATCGAGTCAGTTGATACCGACTCACAGGGACCCTATAGGGCAGGGTAGAACTGCCTCTGTTTCTGAGTCTGTCATTGGTTACAGGAGTAGAAAGCCCTGTCTTTCTACCTCATTGCTACTGGTGGTTTCGAACTGCTGACCTTGCTTATCGTAGTCCAATGTGTAACCACTACACCACCAGGGTTCCTGTCAGTATCACAGGCTGTAATTTATTATGTAAATTTGTTTATGATCTTTCTCCCAACTAGACTGCAATCTTCACAGAGACAAGGACAGGAGCTGTCTTACCCGTGGCTTATCTAGTATATACTTAGAGCTTACTTACCTTATAGCTCCATATTGCAGAAAGTCTGGTATTGGGAGTTCAGTAGATAGTTATAGAGTGACTTTAGGATTGGAAAGAACTAATAGCAAATGTACACTAAGGTAACTGAATCAGTTAGACTGTTGAACAAAGCCAGTTGCCCTAGTCAGCTCCAATTTAGGGCAATCCCGTGTGTGTCAGCGTAAAACTAGATTCCATATAGTTTTTGGAAGTAGATAGCTGAGCTTTCCTCTGAGACACTTCTAGCTGGGTTCAGATGTCCAACATTTCATTAGCAGTAGAAGAGATGAGCTGTTTATATCACTCAGGGGCTCTAACTACCTCTTTAACTAGGCATACTAATATTTGGAATATTTACCAAAATGACTGATCTTGGAGCAGTTAATGGAAGACATGCTTCCTGCCAATAATCAGCATGCCAGTTAAGCTCACTCTTCTGCAGGAACTCTTTGGACTAGATTTTATGGTCCATGGCTTACCAGTGAGGACGTAAAAAACTCAGAGCAGTTGAATCATGGATTGAATTTTCTATTTGACTAATAAAAACAATGAGAATATAATTTTGATCAACATTTCATGAACCTATCACGTAACTTGGCTGTGATATATGTGGCAGCTACTTCATACGGTAGGTAAGCTTTCCTAGAATCACCAGTGTGTTGGAGGAAACCGTCTGTACTGCGAACATGTACCGCTTCCTTTTCAAATACAGAGAACTGTCAATCCCAACGAGAGAACGCCCAAATCCATTTTCTCTGGTGACCAATGAAGGCTTTTCTCTTCCTGTCTTGCAGAGACACGGAGTACAAAGGGCTGCAGCTGTCCCTGGATCAGATCTCAGTCTCCAAACCAGCCTTTTCCTATGCCAACAGCTCTACCCCGACCCTGACGGACACCAGGAAGGGGACCAAGTCCCGGCTCTCCAGTTCAAAGTCAAAATCCAGGACTTCCCCATACCCTCAGGTAGGTGTTTGCTGGAATGTTTACCTTTTTTCCTTTTTGAAGCCATTTCTCTCTCTCTCTCTCTCTCTCTCTCTCTCTTTTTTAAAGCCTGCTGTGGTCGCAGAGTTAAGGAAATATTAAAATAGTTTGGAATTTATTATCTGGCTTTGATAAATTTCAAGCTTTTATAAAACTGTAAAGTTTCCTAAATGATATTGCCCTGCCTCCTTGTTCTTTAAAACAACTGTGCCGGTAATAGACATTGTTATGTTGTTTGTTAGCTTAGAAAAATTTGAAGCTACTTGGTGGTATATTGCATTTATGTAACAGTTGTGAGAGTCTCAATTGCAGTCAGATAATTGCAGCATAATGCCTCTGCTATCTCAGGGAGATTGATCCTAAATTTTTATCCCACAATGATTAGCCAGAAGGATGCATCTAGTATAATGAAATATGGAAAACAAGAGCTTGATATAGAAAAATTGAATCTTACGGCTGCAACTGAAGAAGAAAGAAGGTAGAGGCAAAGGTTCAAGGAGGCATTGCACCATGAGATTTGAGCACAGATGGACCGTTTATGAGGAGGAATGAAATAGAGAGGATCTTCCAGATGGCGGCAATGGTAGGAAAGCAACTCTCTGCTCATCTTTGCAAGGTGGTGAGATGGTGAGACCCAGAGGAGGTATTCCAGAAATACCACAAGGTCCAAATAGGAATCTTGATCCTTAGAAGAGAAAAAAAATACTTAAAAACTCTAGTTTGATATACAGGCACTAGGCTGTGCCAAGGTATGTGTACACCTCTGTCCTGGGCTGGGGGACGTGTGACATAACTGGGAATTCTGCACATCAAGTATCCTGGGTCCCCTCACTTTGAACCCTGTCTTTTAAGAGCACCTAGTCAAGCTCCCATCAGTTCAACAGAGTGACTTCAGGAGATTATTCCTGTGCTAGTGGATAAGCAAACTGAGCTCTGGGTAATTTCATCAGAGTGGTCTTATTAATTTCCCTTTCAAATATATTCATCTTAGTAATAATGGCAAGCAGGTGGGAACAGACATGATTTCCTTTTTTATCAGAGCTGTGTTACCTATCCTACATCGATCCCTAACAAGTGTGTATTGTTTGAAGGAATGCCATTCATTGAACAGATGGCTCCGAGGAAGCTAGTTGTCAGAGGTGATTTTAGGGGCCTGGTATGCACAGATAGGAGGACCCTGGTACTTGCTTCCAAGAGACTCAAGTCTCAGATGATTTGAAAATATCTAAAGAAGACCAGATTTTATTACTCTGACAAACTAGGGGAAAGCAGATGTGTATAACTTCCATTAGGAGTAGGGAACACTTTATTGATAAAATGTATTTTAATGAAAATCACGGTTGAGAAGTTTTCTTTTTTCCTTGAACACCAAATGAGAAACTTCGTTTCAAAATTACGGTCTTATACGTTTTGGGGGGAAAATCACTATATCTTTTTATGACTTGAAAGGCTGGGTTATATATTTGGGTAAGTCTATCCTTAAATATACATAAGTGTTGGGCACATAGATGAAGGAGTAAATTAAGTTAGATAATACTAACTTAAGGAGGCTTTTATCAATTGTTGGACTATGTGGAAATGAAGCCGTAGCAGTGAGACTCAAACCCAAACCTTCCCTTTGGCCCACCAGAGTCGTTGTCCGGCTCCTGTCTCCCATCCATGTTCTAGACATCATGGCCAATAGTGACTGACTACTCATTTAAAGAAAAAAAAAAGTAACTGCCATTTGTCTACTCTCTGCATTTAGTTTTAAAGTTATACATGTTGCATATTTTTTAAAACGTCAACATAGGAAGGTGGAACGTAGAAAATGCTCCTTTATCCCCTTATTCACCTTCTCAAGAATTGTGCTTTCTTTGAGTAATATTCTGATGTATTCAATCATGCACATGCACATAGGATTTCTCTTGAAATTTGTGTCTTTGTTTTTGTGTTTAGTGCTTATATAAATGCGGTCCTTTGCGCCATAGGTCTCACAAATCACACAATCATGCTGAGGAAATAGCGTGGCAGCCACCCCTGACCTCTGGCTTCACAGAGGGGAAGAAGAATCTGATTCCACCCTAGTCCAAGGCCAATTGCCACAAGAAGAGGCCAGACATGCCTCCTTCCACCCTTCATCTTTCTATATTCTCACACCAACATGCACCCTCCTTCTCTGCTGGCTTCTATAATTTGTTGCAATGGCCACACAGAATCCACACACAGAATACTTAAGATTATGAGTGTTACTAGGAAGCCAACAGGTGAAAAAAATGTTAAGAATACAGTTTGGATCTGCAATCTTTTAACCACATGGTCCCTTGATCTCTGCTTCTGTGGGCCAGGAAGCTCACCTGCTGTTCTGCCTGATGGTCTCGGTGCTGCAGCTTTGCTCTGTCTCATTGTCTCAGTGCTGAGGCATCTGGTGCCTCTTCTGCCTCCGCCACTTCAGACAGGGATGCCACTCCATTGGTGGCTTTTCTTTCTTCATGGTCACAGGATCCTCTCTTTCTGTTTCTGAGAAGGCTCACTCATATGCGGCAGAATGGCAAAACTGACCAATTACCAGCAAGGCTGCTAATCAGGTTTCAAAAGTCAACAGTTTGAAACCACTGGATACTCCTGGGGAGAAGGATGGGGCTTTCTCCTCCCACTGTGAAGAGTTACATTCACGGAAACCCACAAAGGTAGTTCTACTCTGCCCTCTCGGGCTGCAGTCAGTTGGCATCAACTCAATGGCAGTGAGTGGGTGAGGCTTGTTATTCACATGTCCCCAACCTCGATTAAGAGGGAGGTACAGAGAGTATGGATAGAAGAGCCATATTAAGCAATTTCACTTCACTACACATGCATTAATTTTATTTAACATTTATGTGCTTAGTAAAGGTTACCCTTTACTTGTATTTACTTTAGTTAATTATGATGCTAGGCTATCATTGACTGAATTCCTGCTACTTGGCCTCCTAATACATCGAGATAAGAAATGGAACACATTCTCTTGACTTTTCTGAGGTGGAGACAGACCCACGAACGAGAGCTTGGAGGGAACTGTGAAATAAACAGAGTGCTTTGAGGACACATAGGGAAAGCATGAACTTTAGGACAATCTCGTCACTGTATTTGCTGGAAACAAATAACCTGCATGCTAAATCCTCAGAAATTTTGTAGAAAAAAATAATTCAACGTCGCAAAACTTTTATTTCATCAAAATTACCCTTATTTTATTAAAGAGTAAGTAGCTTGTACATTTCATACACTATTTGATATTATGTGTCTTAGTAGATATGAGTTGAGCGTCTGAATTAGATGGTTGGAGGGATGAAGGTTGGGCAAGAGGCGCTAACATATTTTAAAAAATGGAGTAAGAAATGTCCTTACATCCCCTTACAGAAAGGTCATGGGGAGGAGCTGAGCCAGTCAGGGTGCAGTGTAGCAACGATGAAACATACAACTTTCCTCTGGTTCTAAATACTTCCTCCCTACCCCACTATCATGATCCCAATTCTACCTTACAAATCCAGCTAGACCAGAGGATGTACACTGGTACAGATAGGAACTGGAAACACAGGGAATTCAGGACAGATGATCCCTTCAGGACCAGTGGTGAGGGTGGCGATACCGGGAGGGTAGAGAGAAGGTGGGGTAGAAAGGGGGAACTGATTACAAGTGTCTACATATAACCTCCTCCCTGACGGATGGACAACAGAAAAGTGGGCAAAGGGAGACGTCAGACAGTGTAAGATATGACAAAATAATAATAATTTTTAAATTATCAAGAGTTCATGAGGGAGGGGGAAAAGGGAGGGAGGGAGAAAATGAGGAGTTGATATCAAGGGCTCAAGTAGAAAGCAAATGTTTTGAGAATGATGATGGCAACAAATGTACAAATGTGCTTGACACAATGGATGTATGTATGGATTGTGATATGAGATGTAAGAGCCTCTAGTAAAATGATTAAAAAAAAAGAAATGTCCTTAAATTTGTAGTGTACTTGGAGTGGTACAGTTATATACAGGTTATAGATGAGGAATAATTAGCATATATCGTTAGCTGATACTGAGTTCGCTCCAACTCAATCTGACCCCATGCACAGTAGAACAAGATACTTCCTGTTCTTGACTATGCTCCTACTTGCTGGCATGTGTTAGTCTATCATTGCCTTCTGAGCTTGGTGACTCATCTTCCAGCACTCCATTGGACAATATGTCTACACTAACCATTAGGGTTTTCATTGATTTGTTCTTGGAAGTATATATCTGGGCGTTTCCTCATTGCATCACTTAGACTGGAAGCTCGGCTGAAACAAGTCCACCATGGGTTACCCTACTGGTTTTTGAAATACCGGTGGCATCTTCTGATGTCATAGCAACACATAACATACTACAGTGTGGAAAACTGACAAACAAGTAGTGGATATAATTGTGTGTTGTTGTTAGTTGCTATTGGGTTAATTCTGACTCATAATGAGTGTGTATACAATGGGATGAAACACTGACAGTCTTGCACCAATTATCACAATGCTTGAGCCTATTGTTGTAGCCATTGTGTCAATCCACCTACTTGAGGTTCTTGCACTTTTGTGTTGATCCTCCACTTTGTCAAGCATGATGTCCTTTTCCAAAGACTAGCTGTTTCAGATAACACGTCCAATGTACAGGAGACCAAGTCTCTCCACCCTTGCATCTAAGGAGTTTTCTAGCTGTTCTTCCTCTAAGATAGACTTGTTTGTTCTTTGAAAGTCTGTGGGATCCACAGGAACAACACACGGTGCAAAGGCAGATGAAGACAAGGTCAGCATGCCAGACTTGTGACTGGAGAAGTGAATGAATCCAATATTATCAGATCAGATGGCAGGTCAGAGAATAGCTCCCAGGATTGGTAGGCAATATGGCCGGCTGTTGGCTCGAGTGCCAAGAACCAGAAGTTGACAAGCCAGATGTCAGATCCAGACCAAGCAAAAGCAAACAAGCTTTTCATAGCAGCAATTTAAATAGGAGGTA